TACCATTGTGGTGATGGCAAAAGGGCGGGCGGGCGGGCGGGCGGGAGGGAGAATAGGATGTGGTTTATACCATTGTGACTTGCCAAAGGGGGAGGAATGAGGGCGTTATACCATTGCGGCCCTGTAAAAGGGCGGGGAGAAATACGGTGTGGATTATACTATCATAACCACTGCAAATGGGGAGGGTGGAGGGAGAAATGGGGGGTGGACTATATAATTATGACTTGCAAAAGGGCCAACTGCATTGTATTACTGCAAGTCATAAAGGGGAACCTGGGCTGTACCATTATAGGACGTGGAAGAAGCTGCAGTGCCAATGGAGCGGCCAGACCAAAACCCCCCCAGGCTTCGGCTGGGCACTGCAGGCAGACAGGGCAGCTCACCTGGGTCCATGGCCCCCTCTTCCTCCAAGGGAGCTGTAGGATCAGGTCTACCCATCTTGCCCCTCATCCCTGCAGGTATATAACCTCCATGAAGGCTCAATCCAGAGCCCAGGGTACCCAGAGACCCTGGGCTAAGCATCAAACCCAGCAGCCCCCCACTCCCCTCTTCGAGTGCAGAGAGAACCCAGGTGGTCCTACTTTCAGCCCCACCCCAACACACACATGAAATGATGCAGTGTCCACGCAAAATAATGATTTCCAATTTATTCTCCTTTCCCAGGTGGTCACAGTGGATGGGGGAGTAGGGAGAGGGGGAGGAGCCGAGGTGCAGCGCTCCAGGTTCTTACACCCGATTGGTGGAGCAGAATTGCCCCCTCCCCCCACCCTGGGGGGCAATGTACCTGTTCATGTGGGTGGGGGAAGACAGTCTGTAGTTTTCAGCATCCCTTGGGCTCCTGGCTAGCTGCAAAGCATGCTAGGAGCTGCAGGTTGAGAACTGCCCCCCAAAAGGTTCTGCTAAGCATGCTGGGAAGGTGCAGGCACTGTGTCACAATGGGTATCTCCCAGCAGGCCCTGTGCCAGGCATGCTGACAGTTGGAGGCTTGCCTCCCTACCCCCAAGTCTGACATTGCAGGGGGGGAGGCTAGGTGCTGCTCTCCACTGGTGCCCCAGAGCCCAGGTGCTGCTGGGGGATCAGGCTAGGTCATCCATGATCTCCTGCACCAGGTGCTTGTAGTGGGCATGTGGTTGGGCCTGACGCTGGCAGCACAGGTGCTAGCTGTAAGGGGGCCCCAGCTCATCCACCTCCAGCTGGCAGGGAACGGGGGGAGGAGTCAGGAGATGCCAGAGGGGACAGACCTCCTTCCCACAACAGTTCAGCAAGCAAAGGGTTAGGCCAAGGGGCTCACCAGTATGCTTTGCAGCGCTTCAGGGAGCCCACCCCTGGCCCAGCCCTGGTAAAATCTGTGTGCAAGGAAGGAGCCCCCCAGGGGGCACTTGCCTGCCTGTACACTAATGCCAGGAGCTTGGGGAATAAGCATCCTCCTGCTCAGTGCAAACAATTACGATGTCACAGGGATAACGGAGACCTGGTGGGACTCCACCCATGACTGGACCACAGGGTCTTTGTTATACCAAGGCAGGGGCAAAGGCAAAAGAGAGGGTAGCAGTGTGTATTCAAAGTTGTGCTGTTTTCCACTCTCTCAAGGACGGCTTTGCTACCCTCCTACACTGGGCAGTGCTACAGTCAGAGTGATGAGTGTCTGTGTTTTCTGCCTGTCAGCAAAGGTGGATCAGGCCTGCATGACCTCAGCAGCTTGCTAGGCCACAGCCAGGAAGGTTTGAATAGCCCCATAGAAAAGTCCAGCGTGACCCACTGCTGACACAGGCAAATCTTTGGGCCTGAACGCAGAGCATCCTGGTTCTCTCTCCGATACAGCTCTGAGCATGGTGGGTTCCTAGCATTACTAAAGAAGATCGCACTTGTTCTTGCACACAAGGTGCAATTCTTTTCCGATGCAGAGTGGAGTGCCACTTGAAGATGAGCCAAGGTACTGTAAAGAGCTGTATCTCTCCCTCATCTGTCTTGCTTCCTTTTTGGGAATGTCACGAATGAATACCCTAAAAGAATTCAGCTTTGTTCTTCCAACCAGCTGTTGCTCAGCTGGAATACTGCAATTGTGAAATCTGCCCTGGAAAATGTGTATTTGTTTTGCTCTGCTTTGTTTTGTCATCTGCCGAAGTAGGAATGCTCCTTTTCATTCTGTGATGGTTGAAAAGAGGGGCTTGGTGTTGGTGTTATATAGCATAATTAGGAATTATCTATATATGTAATGCTGCCTAAGAACTAATTCAGCAAGACCTCTGTTTCCAGAACGCCTATGAGAAGTACACGAATATACAGAATTGAGCTATAAGGTGGAAAACCCTTCCAGATGGGGACTTGTATTTTTTAATATGTAAAGCATTTAGTGACTTTTGAGTGCTATATAAATACCAAATAGCACAGAAAAGATACAAATGGCACGCAACCGACTGTCAGTGCAGCAAATTAAGCTTCTGTTTATAGCAGGAGTGTAAATATAGGGTTAACGGTTAATTCATTTAATGATGAATGTGACACCACTGTGTTATCCTGTAAGAACGTGAATAGAGATTTGCAGCAGACAACATGCTGTGAGCCCAAAAGAATAGGAAACTACTGCCTGCTTTTTTTAAAACTATTGCAAAATGTGGACACAATACTTGGACATAATAGACTGTGTCTGACAACATTTGTACAGTATGTAGCGGAGTGAGCCCCACTCAGCTTCCTATAGTTATCCATATATAGTGACTAAAATTGCAGACACTGAATTAACTCTGAATAACATATGAGCTGGAGTGACAGCCTTCATGTGGTTCTAGAAGGATGAGAATAAGATAGATGGCTGTTTGTGTAGATGTACTAAACTGCAAATCCAGGGGTCCATAGAGTATGGAAAATATGCCAAAAGCTGGGTTGTCCCTTCCATCCCACAGACCCCATTGATTTCCTGCAGGGCAGGAATCCCCCCTTGCAGAGCAGCTTGCAAGATCAGGGTAAATCCATTTCTAGTAACAGACTTTCTCACGCACCCTACCCACTACATTCACGTTTCTCCACTTAGCCCACCTTGGCATCCTTCTGAACCCTGTTATTTTTCAAAACTATTTGGAGAATAGAGAGTGAGTTCTGAATGCCAGCAAGCAACTCTGCCTCTACTGAACCAAGCGGAGAAAGCAGTTGCACTTGAATTTCCCAATTGCCAATTCTCCTTTTTCCTTTCTAACACCAGAATGGAAAGAGCTTTTAGCAAAACTCTCTCTCTAACTTTAGCGGCTGCTCCAGTACCATATAAGGAGACGGGCCATTTCCAAGATCCAAAATATTGAGGGTTTCAGGAGGTTGAGAAAATGGCGAGTTCATATTTATACAGAAACAAGTGGTATGTCAATCCAAATCACAGAACCCGTGCAAAATGCACTCTCTGACAGGAACGCCGCTAAGCAGCGGCGTTCAGCGCCTCGTTTTTAGGCAATCGTCAGGTAAAGCTCCATCTAGAATAGATTGAACTAAAGCAAGATGACAGGAACTGGGAACCCCCAAATCCGAAAGAAATAGCTTTAGGGATGAAAAAGGAGAGTGTGTAAATAGCAAAAGTAGAGGTACCACATTTTGGAGCCAATTGCTTTAGAGAATAAGTGTGTTTTTAAAAACGGATTAAAATAGATTTCTGCAATGGAGGAGCAGGGAGTGCACAAACATTTTTATTTTGCTTCTCAAGCAAATCCCGGGACGTCATTCTCCCCCTGTACTCGGCCTTAGTGAGGCCGCAGCTGGAGTACCGTGTCCAGTTTTGGGCTCCACAATTCAAAAAGGATGTGGAGAAGCTTGAGAGAGTCCAGAGAAGAGCCACGCGCATGATCAGAGGTCAGGGAAGCAGACCCTACGATGACAGGCTGAGAGCCCTGGGGCTCTTTAGCCTGAAAAAGCGCAGGCTCAGGGGTGATCTGATGGCCACCTACAAGTTTATCAGGGGTGACCACCAGCATCTGGGGGAACGTTTGTTCACCAGAGCGCCCCAAGGGATGACGAGGTCGAATGGTCACAAACTACTTCAAGATCGTTTCAGGCTGGACATAAGGAAGAACTTCTTTACTGTCCGAGCCCCCAAGGTCTGGAACAGCCTGCCACCGGAGGTGGTTCAAGCGCCTTCATTGAACACCTTCAAGATGAAACTGGATGCTTATCTTGCTGGGATCCTATGACCCCAGCTGACTTCCTGCCCTTTGGGCGGGGGGCTGGACTCGATGATCTTCCGAGGTCCCTTCCAGCCCTGATGTCTATGAAATCTATGCTGGGAGCTCACAGGAACGTCTCCCACAATGCACTGCAGCAATGCATCCTGTTGCTATCCCAGCATGCATTGCAAAGCAGATAGGTGCAAGGCACCACTATCTCAGCAGGCATTGCAAAACAAATATGTGGAAGGCCACACCCCTGTCCCAGCATGCATTAGAAAGCAGATAGGTGCAAGGCACTGCTATCCAACTCTGCATTGCAAAGCAGATAAGTGAAAAGCACCACTGCTACCGCAACATGCGTTGCAAACAGATCTATAGAAGGCACCACTGCTATCCCAGCATGCTTTGCTCAATCTCCTGCAGTACCTGGGGGTAGGTGACTTGGCTCTGGTACCGGTACCAGCGCCAAGTATAGCACAGGTGCTGCCACAGGGCGTCAGTTACACACGTAGCTCTGGGGGGACAGGAGGATGAGAAGATGCACTCTGAATCTGCTGCTGCCCTCCCCACCAACCCCCACGGGGCAAACCTCAACTCAATGCCAACAGTCAGCAGGGCATGGGTCAGGGCTAGTGCCAGCAGCGTCAGGCGCCATTCGTAGGGCATGCAGGTCAGCTGGTGAGGATAGTGGGTCTTAGGCACTATACTGGAGTCCCCCACCATGGCCCAGGCCATCCCAGTCCCCCAGGGAAGCCCCCATCAGTGCCCCTAGGACCCCTTCATGCCATGACATCAACCCCAGCCAGCCCTGGATCTGGTCCTCCTGCATCCCAGCATGCACTGGGCCTGTCCCCCAGATCTGGTCCTCCTACATTCCAGCATGTACTGTGCCTCCCCTCTCCCAATGTCCTGCAGAACTCCCCCATCAAGCATGTACTGGGCCTGCCTCCCACCAGCCTCCTGCATAACTCCCATCTCCCAGCATGCACAGCTCCACTCCCAAGCTCTCCCCCCACCACTCCAGCAACGCCCTCCATTTCCCAGCATGCACTGGGCTTGACCCACCTGTTTCCCAGCATGCATTGGGGTCTGCACCTCCTCCCCCAGCTCCCCGCATGTACTGGGCCCCAGCACCCCCAACTGAGAATGCACCCCAACAACCCCCACCCACCTCATGAGTGGAGAGCATGCTGGAAGATGGTGTCTAACTCCTCCCCCAAGCCACACTGGCAGTTGCCTGCTCCCTTCCACCATCCCACAGTGCACCTGGACCCCTACCTCATAGAACTGGGCCAGGGCAGGGCAGGGCCACAGCAGCAGGAGCACAAAAACCGAGGCGAGCATCACAGCGGCCAGGAAAGGGCCTGGGGGACAAGGGGAGGTCAAGATCCCTGGGGCACAAACCATGCACCCCCAGCCTCACAGACCCTGCCCCCCACTCACAATTGGTATGGGGGGCCTGGCGGAAGGGTGGCCCCTTGGCAAAGGCCATGGCCACAGCTATGTACTGGAAACAGGATGTGAAAATGCTGGTGTTCTCCAGGCTGGTGATGGTGCAGCCCTGGGAGTCTTCCTATTCCTCAGCCCTGCCCCCACCCAGGAGCTCCGAGGAGCTGGGAAGGGGGGCTGGGGAGGCATTGGCAGGCACCGGGGAGCCCAGACTGCATGAGGCTGGGCCAGAGGCCCAGGTGCTGAGGGGGTGGTGGCAGGTGCCAGGTGGTCCAGTCCCAGCATGCATTGGGTTGCTAACCCATGTCCCAGCATGCCCTGGGCCTGGCCTCCCCCTTCCCCATGCACTGGGCCTGGTCCCCATCTCCCAGGATGCACTGGATCTGCTCCTCCCCTCCACATGTTCCAGCATGCTCTGGGCCTGGCTCCCACTTGTCCAGGACTTGTGCCTCCCAGGAGGCACTAGGCCCACCCCCTTTGCCCCCCAGCATACATCAGGCCTGGCAGCCCATCTCCCAGCATACACTGAGTTGGCTCCCCACTCCATGTCCCAGCATGCCCTGGGCCCAGCCTCCCTTCACCATGGCTTCTACTTCCTAGCATGCACTATGCTTCCCCCCTCCTCCCCCTGCCCTGCGCCCCAATCTCCCAGCATCCACCAGGCCTGGCACCCAGTCTCCCAGCATGGACTTAGCCCAGCCTCCCCATGGCTTCTACTTCCCAAATGCATTGGGCCTGGCCCTTCCCCTGTCCCAGCATACCCTGGGTCCACCCCACTGTTTCCCAGAACGCCCTGGAGCCAGCCCCTCTTCTCCATGGCTTCTGCCTCCCAGCATGCACTGGGCCATGCAGAGGCACTCTGAATTGCTGCAGGTGCAGTTCCAGGGGGTTCAGGGACAGGCATGTGGGAGAGGAGCAGGTCTAGGGGCAGAGGAGCAGGTTCAGGGGGTGCAGGGGCAGATGTGGGGGGCACTTACAGAGCTCCAGGCGGCTGATATCAGGGCTGGGTATGCACAAACAGGAAGGGCAGGGGCAGGTCCTGGAGTCCAGGGGCAGGTGCGGGGGGGTACAGGGGCATGTCTGGGGGGCACTTACAGGGTACCGGGGGTCTGGTACCAGGGCTGGGCGCACACAAGCAGAAAGGGCAGCACCTGGAAGGAGCTGCCCCAAGCCAGTGTTGGCCCAGCAGGATCTGGGCCAACACTGAGAGCAGCAGCTGGGGTGATGCCAGCCCTGCCAGGGGGCGCTGGGGGCCCAGCGCTGGCCAGGCATGAGTCAGACTCACTGCGAAGAGAGAGCCAGGGGAGTGAGGGGTATATGGGGCCCTGTGCCCCCTGCCCCAGTGTCCGCCCCCTGCCCCCCACAACACGTACCGGTGAAGGCGAGGGACATAATTGTCATGTCAATGAAGAGATACTGGGTGTCACCCAGGTTGCTGAACATCTGTGGGGGGGGAAGGAATGGGGGGGTGACAGGCTGCTCCACCCCAGAGCTGGGATCATCCTTGACCCTGTTATACTCAGCTATGCTCTGCCCCAAAGCCACCTGCATCTCCGATCCCACTATAACCAGCCCTGACTGGTATAACCGAGTCCTACTGATCTCAACCCCAGACCTGGATGCATCCTTAGAACCTGGGCTGTGCTCTGTCTCAGAACCAGCTGCATCTCCGATCCCAGTATAACCAATCCTAACCAGTCTAACCAGCCCTAAGCAATCTCCACTCCAGAGCTCCATGCATCCTGGGTGAGGAGGGACCCTATTATATTGCACCCGAGCTGGGTGCATCCTCGATCCCATTATACTTGGCTGAGCTCTATCCCAGATCTGGCTACATCTCCAATCCCACTATAGCCAATCCTAACTAGTATAGTCAACTCCTAGTGACCCCACACCTGGGCACTTTGTGGCTTGGAAGGTGCCCCGTTACGCTTGCCTGCGCCCACCCCAGAAGTAGCTGGCCCTGGAGCCAGACGGGGGGGTCCCCCAGAGCTGGGCGCACTCACAGAGTATAGCAGCAGGATGCTAAAGTACTGGATGAGGCTGTAGAGTGCCACGAACTTGAACACGCAGAAAGAGGTAACCAGCGCTGCCCGCCCCTCCCTGTGGCAGGAGAGGTCAGGGCCCCAGGCCAGGGAGGACTGCGCATCCCAGCATGCATTGCCAGCATGCCTCCATATCCCAGCATGCCCTGCAGTGTTCTGAACCCCACCGCCAAGTGGTGCCCTGCTCAAGGCCAGGTTGGAGCCCAGACTCTCCAGATCCCAGGTCACAACATGCCCTGCTCCCCACACCTGAGGAGGTCAGGCACGCAGATTTTGGGCTGCTGGGAGGTGAAGGGTGATGCCACTGAGGCCTCCAGCTCTGACAGTGAGATGCCTGTGCGTGCCCACTTCAGTGCCTGGGGGGGAGGGTGACCTGTGACTCCACCCCCTTGGTGTTGGGGGCGGAGTGTGGAGAACCCAGGCGTCCAGGGCGCTCAGAGCAGCCCAGAGCTGGAAAGAACACAGGCAGTCGAGCTCCCTACACAGAACTCACCCCACAGTCATTGGCTCCATCCCTGCACGTGCCCACATAGTAGCTGGAAGGGAGAAGAGAGCGGATAGAACCTAGGTCTCTGGGCTCCCATCCCACCCTCCTCAAGGAACCCAGGCATCCAGGACCCCCGAACTCACCCTACTTGCTGTAGGGCTTCCACCAGCTGGGTCTTCTGGTCGGGTGCCATGAGGGCATAGACAGTGGCACAGAGCAGGAGCTGCAGGAGGGGGGCTGAGAATGGAGCCATATGCCTGGGTTCTCTCCCTGCTCTGGCAGGAGAGTGGGGGCTGGTAGGGGGAAGGGAGCCCTAGACACCTGGGATCTCTCCCAGCTATGGGGGTGGGGGGTAAGGGCAGAGGACCCAGGCATCTAGGCTCACCTTGGGCAGGTGCTCGGGGGAAGTGCTCATAGATGATGCCGAGGGTCTTTCCGCTGATGGCAAAGTGGTAGCTGATATCGGGGGGGGGGTTTCAGCTTTTGCCAGCCCCTGCTTGAAGTCCTGAGGACACAAGGGGGGGAAATGAACCTAGTGACCCCTGCTGGACCCCCCCCCCACAGTATGCCCCCTCCCTCACCTCAGTGTCCTGTTTAGTGCTGCCGCCAGGCTTGGGGTCTGTATAGTGCCAGGTGATGGTGGGCAGTTGCCCATCACGGGGGGGCAGGGCCTCGGCCAGCACCACACGGCCCTTGGGTGGGATCATGCCACATTCCCAGGCCACCGAGATGGCCGTCAGCATGTTGTCACCTGGGGGGATGTGGAATTCAATGCCTGCAAGCTGGCAGGAAACCCAGGCATCTGGGTGCCCCGCCCTGCTCCCAGGAACCTGTGTCCGGGCCCACCAGTGACCATGACGGGCCTCACGCATGCATGGTGCAGCTCGCCCAGGATCCTGGTGCTCTCGGGTTCAGAGGGACTACTGTTGTGGATGGAGTTCCAGAGAGGGGCTACTCCAGAGGGGTGGGGCTCGAAAGAAGGGTTACTATTGGGGACAGAGCTTCAAGAAGGACTTTGTTTTGGGGGCAGGGCTCCAAGGAGGGATCAATATTGGGGGAGGGACTTGAAAAAAGGTATGAGGGTCTAATGGGTAGCAAGAGGGGGCACTGTGGAGGACCTGGGTGTCTGCAGCAGAGGCAGATGGGAGATGGGGTGGGGGGAGAGGGTATCCTGACCTTGTCAAAACAGAAGAGGTTGAGGCCCCCAGCAGTGTGCAGGCGCTGGGGGCTGGTGGCATGGATGGCGCAGATGTGGAGTCGTCGCTGGGCCCAGGTGATGCTGGCCGTGAGGGTGGCAGGCAGCGCCAGGGGCACCACAATGGTCAGGATGTCCAGGGACTCCAGCACGATGCGCCCTGCCTCCTCCTGGGGGGTGGGGAGGGAGACCCCGTGGTCAGCCTATCCATGGGGGTGGGGGTCCAGGCACCTGTACCCCCAACCATGCCACTCACTCCCTGCTGGACACTGTGGGCAACTGAGTAGGCCATGCCGGCACCTGCCACAGCTACAAGGCAGAGCAGTAAGCACCTGGCATCGCAGTAGAGCCGAAACTCAGTCGGCTTTGGGTACAGGATGGAGCAGACCAGTTGCCTGGAGAAGCAGGGTAAAGAGGATAAGAGAGGCTGCCTGCCCCCTCCCCCTAGTACCTCTGGGTCTGCCCCTACCCTGGGGCTTGGGTGCTGCTCTGTGGGTGGGGGGTGGCCAAGGCTGGGTCATCCAGGATCTCCTCGGCCAGACACTTGTAGCAGACACAGCGCTGGCTGTAAGGGGGCCCAGCTTGTCCACCTCTAACGGACAGGGAAGTGGCGGAGGGCAAAGTCAGAGACCCCCACGGGGGGGGATCCGAGGTGCTCTTGGCACCCCCCTGAGACTCTGTAGAAGCCCTGCCCCCCACTCAGGATCAGGCCCCTCCGTACCAGTGCAGAGCATGAGGGCACGCACAGGCTGCCCTGAGTAGTAGCGGGTCTGGAGCACACAGGTGCCACAGAAGAGTGTGTGGCGCCGGTGCCCACGGGGTTCGTAGTGGGGGTCGCAGGCTGCCCCCTTCCCTGCTCCCACCTGCCTCAGATCCGGCAGTGCTGTCTTGGTCACTGGGATGCTCTCGCCTGCCGAGATATTGAGGGAGGGTAGCTGGAGGGGTGGCAGGACCCCGCATGCCTGCCCTTTAATACCCCTGTGCCTCTCCTCCCCCCCATTCCTCTGCCCATGGAGCCCCTGGGCCAGGCCTGGGCACTGTTTGAGCAAGCAGCCCACCTGGGGATGCCCAGTCTGGCCTACCCGGGGGACGCCCAGTCTGGTCCAGCCCACCTGGGGAACGCTGGGTCCGGCCCACCCAGGAACTCCAATTCCTCTGCTACCCAAGCCCCACCCCCTACCGGTGAGCATGCTCACATTGACGATGGCTGTGCCGCTCAGCAGGGCAGCGTTGCAGGGCACTGTCAGCCCCCCACAGTGGCACCAGCACCACGTCCCCTGGAACCAGCTCTGTGGACAGGATCTCCTCCATGCCTGGGGTGGCCGGGTGGGGCAGTGAATGGGAAGAAGGGAGACGGGTCCAGATTTGTCCCCCACCCTGGGGCAACCCGAACACCTGGATCGGGCCAAGATCAGGACCCGGGCACTCACCGTGGTGACCCCTGGAGACTGTCACCCGCACCATGTTGTGGGCTGCCACCATGTCGTGGAGCAGAATGTATTGCTAGGGGTAGAAGTGGAGGGGGAGAGGTTGGGAGAAGGCCAGAACGACCACTGCCCCCCCCTGCCCTGGGACACCCCTTCCAGCCCCTGGGCTCTGCCCCTGCTGCCCCCCCACCCTGTGGCACACATCCAGGGGCAGCACCCTTAGTCCCCACACCCCACAGGCACCCCCAGCACTAAGGGACAATCCTAGCTGCAAGCCCCTATCCTGAGGCATATACCACACCCTCTGTGCCAAGCCTCTCCCGCCAGGCACTGACTCTGAGCCCCATCCCTCCACCCTCCCCCACCGAGCATTGACTACTCCACCATCCCAAGCCCCCTCCTTCCTATGCACTGACTCCTTCCCCCATGCCAAGACCCTCCCTCGGGCCCAGGCCCCACACACCTTGCGCATGACATGCAGGGCGAAGCTGGCGGAGAGCACAGTCATGAACAAGATGGCGGCAGCATAGTAGTAGTAGTCGTCCAGCACCCAAAGCATCATGCTGAAGGCTTGGAACACGTAAAAGGGGTTCAGGACACTTGGGTCCCAGCTGGGACCCCGGACACCTGGGTCCCTTCTCACCTCCTTGAGGAGCAGCTTGAGGAGGGAAGGCACTTTGACATCAATCAGGTTGTCTCCATAGAAGTGCCGCCTGAGGGGGGCAGTAGCTGTAAGGGGGAAGCCCCCTGCCCCCCTTCCTCTGCCGCTTTCTCCCAACCTGCAGTCCTTGCCCCCCCCCGTGCCCCTCACTCCTAACCCACAGCCCCCTCCCCTCCCCTCAGTGCCCCTTACTCCCAACCCACAACCCTGCTCACCGGTACGCCTGGGTGGGCAGGGGCAGCCCGGCACTGTGGGCCCCATGCAGGGCAGAGCAGGGCACAATGGCGTCCAGTGCCATGAGGCGGTGGAAGGCCTGGTCCGCCAGGTCCCACAGGTACTGCGCCCAGTGGTGGATGAAGAACCTGACCTGGTCGGAGTCATCTAGGAGGCAGTACCCCAGGCCCCCTGTGGAGATGGGAGGGGGGACACTGGAGACTGCCTCACCTCCATCTGCCCTATGGGCAGCAGCCCCTGCTCGCAGTCCAGCCCCTCAGCCTCAGAGGGGCCCTCTGGACTGCCATCCCCTGACTGGGGGCAGCTCAGGGGGTCCATGCCTGGGGCCCAGAAGGTGCGGACCTGGACTTGGGACCAAGTGCAGAATTCGTCCTGCCAGGACAGCAGCAGGGAGATGGTTAGGGCAGGGGTCAAATTTGCCCCTCCCCCAACCAACACCCCCCGACTCATGGTGGTCAACAGGAGGAGCACGCAGGCATCATGCAGAGGGGCACACTGGCAAGTCCAGCATACACTGCGCTGAGGCAGCCAGTAGAGGAAGAGAAGGAAGCCACCAGAGCACAGGGTCCCCAGAGCGACCAGCACCAGCTTCCAGGGGCAGGGGCAGTATCCGGCCACTTCCTGCAGGGGCAGAATGGAGCAGGCAGCATCTCCTGCTGGTCCCCTACCCACAATGCACTGTGCTGGGTCCTGCTGGGCTGCCATAGTGCCCTGGGGCAGGCTTCCCAGCTTGCAGGATGGCATGGAGGGGGGCAGTTCCCACAGTGCCCTGGGGCAAGGGGGACTCACCATCTCATCTTCCTCATCTCAGTTGTCGTAGTTCCGAGCTCGTCCCTCCATGTCTCCTTCCTGTGGGTCACGTGTTTACCCCAGCGCCAGGCTCCTGGGAGAGGGGGCCCATTACACCCAGCCACAGCCCACCCCAGAGGTGGCTGCATCATAGCATGAGGGGTCCCGTTACATGCAGCTGGGAGCCATCCCAGAACTGGTTGCATCCCAGTGCCAGGTGAGGGGTTCCTGTTATACCTGGCTATGCCCTACCCCAGAAATGGCTGCATCTTAATGTGAGATGACTCTGTTATACCCAGAGTTGGCTGCAGGTGAAGGGGCCCCATTATACCCACCCCAGAGCAGATCCGTTACATGCAGCCATGACCCCCTAGAGGCGGTTGCATCTCAACGCCAAGTGAGGGGTCCCTATTATACCCACCTGCGCCCTACCCAAGAAGTGATTACATTTTAGTGTGAAAGAACCTTATTATATGCAGCTATGAACCACCCCAGAGCTGACTGCATCTCAGTGCCAAGTAAGGGGTTCCCGTTATACTCAACTTGTGTTGCGTCACAGAAGTGGTGTGATGGAGCTGCATTACATACAGCTGTGACCCACCCCAGACACAGCCGCATCTCAGGTGTCAAGTGACGGGGACTCGTTATATCCACCTGTGTCCTACCCCAGAGATGGCTGTACTTTACTGTGAAAGGATCCTGTTACGTAAAGCTGTGACCCTCTCCAGAGGTGGCCACATCTCAGGGACAATTGAGGTGGGTCCCTGTTACACCCACCTGCGTCCTACCCCAAACACGGCTACATCTTACTGTGAAAGAACCCTGTTACATACAGCCCCAACCCACCCCAGAGAAATCCGCATCTCAGGTGTCAGGTGAGGGGACCCTGTTATACTCAGCTGCGACCCACCCTAGAGCTGGCTGCATCTCAGTGCCTAGTGAAGAGCCCGTTATACCCAGCTGCACCCTAGAAGTGGCTGCATCTCAGCACCAAAGAGCCGTCATACTCAGGTGCAACCAACCCCAGAGGTAGCTGCAGTCCCTATTACACTTGGTTACGACCCACACCAGCAGCAGCTGCATGGCAGTGCTAAAAAGCCCTGTCATACCAAGCTGCGACCCATCCCAGAAGGAGCTTTGGTCCCTTTTACACTTGGCCGCGACCTACCCCAGAACTGGCTGCATCTCAGTGCCAGGTGCGTAGCCCTGTCATACCCAGCTGCACCCCAGAGCTGGCTGCATCTCAGCGCCAAAGAGCCATTATATCTAGCTGTGACCCACCTGAGGTAGTTGCAGTCCCTGTTACACTTGGCTGTGCCCCACCCCAGAGCATCTCAGCACTGGATAGCCCCCCTGCCTCCCCCACCTCTTTCCCCTGTGGGGGGACTCACGCCAGCTCCTGTCACTGTGTCAGCTGCACAGGCCCCGGTCCAGGGCCACCCACGGGGCACCTGGACCAGCAGCCTTCCCAGGGGCTGAGGAGACAGGTGGGGTAGGGGGTGACATCGCTGAGGGGGGGCCCCCAACACTACAAGGGTTGCAAGTGGAGGGATAGATACACCTGCAAGGCTGGAAGATGACCCAGGCGTTCCCCCCTCCCTGGACCTGCACCCATCCTGGGCTGCGAGGGGGGGGATGACCCCCTTCCCTCAGACCCACATGCGAGGCACCCCAACGCATGCCCCACCACGTGACCTGCCATCCCCACGTAACCCTGCCTATCACGTGCCGGCTCTGCCCGCAACTGTCACCTCAGCCCCACGTGACATTCCGCCCCACAACGTCACGTCAGCCTCACGTGACGCCTCGCCCCTTCAACCGTCATTTCAGCCTCACGGGACCCCTCCCTGTCACGTGGTGGACGCGCCCATCTCAACTATTCCCTCAGCTCCACGTGACACCCCCCCCGCCGCGGACTCACCACCTCTGGGCTCCACATCACATCTTCCGGCGGGACGGAACAGAGCCTCGCGTGGGGGGGCGCGCGGGACAGACGAAGCGTGTGAGTAGGGGGGGGGGAGGCCCGCGGCAGCTGTGGACAGCGCGAGCAGGCAACACACATGCGCGGAGGGAGGGGCCAAAGCGGGCGCATGCGCACCAGGAGGGAAACGCAGGCGGAAGACCCGGCGCCACTGGCGGGTGAGGGCGCATGCTCAGAAGGAAGTGCAGGGGGCAGGGCCTCGCACTGGCTCTTCGGTGATCCGAAGCATGCGTGTTGTAGGGACCATGCGCATGCGCAGCAGGAGGCGGCGCAGCCTAATCGTGCGGGGATGGGGCAGGGCGTATCCGCGAAGCCAATAACAGCGAGTGCTCCTGGCGCACGTACGCTGGATGACCGTTGACAGCGCACCATTGGGGGGGGCCTGTTGCCGTTCGCGCATACGCACAAAGGAAGGCATTGCCTTGCACGGGGCACTATGGGAGCTGTAGTTCCCACCTGTCCTCTCAGCGTGACCACTGATCTCAGAGTCACCCCTCCCCGTGACCCTGTGACCTGGGGGAGGTGAAGGGGTGGGAATGCAGCAGTGAGGGGCAGAGGGGACCCAGGCGCTCCCAGCAAGTGGTGGGTGCCCGAGAGCCTGCCCTGATGTAGGTACTGTAGCTCCCTGGGTTTTGCCACCCCCCTCCTCCCTCCCAGAGGATCATGGTACAGGGGAACCAGACTGCTCTTTGACCCAGAGGACTGTGGGAGAGGGGTAGGGCTGGGCTTTTATCCCATGTTTCTTCGCAGGTCAGGGCAGAGTCAAGCAAGGTTCCACCACACACCTAGAAGGAGTGAATTGGGGCCTGGCCCCTTCTGCAGGGAATTCTGGGATGGGAGGAGTGGAATCCTGAAGGATTAAGGGATGGGGGAGACTAGGGCCCTGCCCCAGGGAATTCTGGGATGGGGTGAGGAGGCACCACCACCTGTCTGACTCCCACCCTCCCCCACTTCCTTCCCCCCACTGCCCCTCACTCCTGACCCACAGCCCTCCTGTACCCCAAGGGATTCTGGGCCAGGAGGCCTCCTGCCACAGGGCATCGTGGGCCAGGAGCCTGTCCCTCTTGGCTGTGCCCCAGCCTCATTGACAAGGCCCCTTTCTCTGCCGCAGGGGCTGCAGGCGGGGAGGGCGTCGAGTCCCCTGGCTTGGGAGAACAACATCCTTTGTTCCCAGCCGTAAACACTGGGTGGTGCCAAGCTGCACCCACCTCTTGAGGCGGAGCGTTTGGTACAATGCGACCTCTCCCCACCCCAGCATCCCCCAGCCCCACAGGCCAGGCTGCAGCTACTGGAAGTCTCTTTATTACAAAACCGTTATTGCCACCAGCGTCCCATTTGTTACCCCCCCAAAAGTGCCAAGCCCCCAACCCTCCCCCAGCACTGGGGCGCATTCATGCTGGCAACCCCCCACAAAGCTCCCAACCCCCCCTTGCCCTGCTGGATAAATGGCATCACCCTGAGCAGCTGTGCCCTGCTGGACATTGAAGAAAGGACCCAGGCGTTCGGGCTCCCAGCACCTGACCCCTTGACTCTGACACCAGTCCTAAAGCCAGGCTGAACCCAGGCGTCCAGGCTGCCCACTCCTCCACAGCCCCTCTTCATGGTGGGATATGACCCAGGTGTCCTGGCTTGAAGCCCTTCCAATGGGCAGGAGGGGACCGGGGCTCCCGGCCCTGCAGTCCCCAAGCTGGGAGGGGACCCAGGCATCTGACGCAGGTCACTCCCCTCCCCCGGGGCTGGCGGGGGGCCGGAGCTGGGCCAGCTGGGCCGGGGTGGCCAGGGCACGGAGCAGGGCGTTCTCCCGCTCCAGCGCCACCCCACACTCTGCCAGCTCCCGGATCTGCTCCCGCAGCAGCTCCACCTCCTCCCGCACAGCCAGCAGCAGGTGGCTCTTCACCAGGTCCTGTGGGGAACCCAGGTGTCTGGAAAGGGCCAGCCGCACCACCTCCTCCCCACCCTGGGGCTCCCAGCCCCCGCTCTCCTCCCGGAGAACCCAGGCATCCGGGCTCCCGGAGCACTCACCATGGCCTGCTCAATCTTGTTGTCAATGGCAATCACCCCGCTGCCAGCGCTGCAGAGAGATGGGTACTGATGGGCTCAGCCAGGGCCCCTCACTCCCGACTTACAGCCCCCCAACCCTGCCAGTGCCCCTCCCCACAACCCGCAGCCCCCACTCCTGCCCAATGCCCCTCACTCCCAACTTGCAGCCTCCAGCCCCCCACTGGTACCTGTGCACACAGACCAGCAGGGACAGCAGCGCCTTGTCGGTCCCCCCAGGGCGGGAGCCCAGCGCCCCTAAGGCAGGCATGGTGGGGGCATGAGCAGGGGAGCTGCCCCATGATGGGGCTGGCGAGGCACAGCCCCGGTGCCGTGGGTTGCCAGTGTCGGGCAGAGCACAGCACCCGCAGCCCCGCGGCACCCCCCGCGCCTCGTAGGAGCTGACCATGGCCTTCACTGACACCCCCTGCGGGTCCAGGGCCATTGCCCACCCCTGGATCCGCCGGGATCGGGGTCGCGAGGGAGCTCCCTGCTTGCTGCTGCCGGGGTGCGGGGAAGAACCTAGGCATCCGAGAGCCCCAAGCCAATCGGTGCCCTGCCCTGGGGAGGGGGTGTGGCCTTGGCCACAAGCCAGCTGGGCATCAATAGTCCCGCTGTTCCCACGCAGCCTCCCCATTGCCCGAAGCCTTACATAACTCTGGGCGCATGCTGCTGGGAGGGGGGCAGGGGAGAACCCAGGTGTCTGGGCTCCCCGCCCCTGCCCCCACTGGGACTCCCTGGGCACCGCTGCCCGCAGAGAACCCAGGTGTCCTGGTTAGGAATGGACCCAGGTGTCCAGAGCTGCACATTGGAGCCCGAATACCTGGGTTCGCTCTGTGGCAGGTGGAGCAGGTGCTGGTGGGGGTGTTGGGCAATTGGACTCCTAGGTTCCCTACTGGCCCTGGGTGGGGCAGGAGCTGCTGGACACCTACCCTAGCATCTGCACGACCCCAGGCAGGAAGTGCCTGCCTCCGCCTTGTGCCACGCCCAAGGTCACCTTGGCCCCCTGGATGCACCAGTGGCCCTCACTCCCAACCCTCAACTCCCAGCCCTGCCAGTGCCCCTCATGCCTGACCCCTCTGGTACCCCTCACTCTCAACTCACAGCCCCCTGGCAGGAGCACCAAGGCTGAGGGGTCCCCCCCAAAATAGCAGCTGCACCCCCTACCGCAGGCCCTGGCCCCCTGTTGGGACACACCCGCCACCACTTCCTTCCTCTTCCCCTCCCGGTCTGGCCCCCCACCACCCAGGCATTGGCAAAGCAGAAAGTCCCGCCCTCACCCCAGTCCTGCCACAGGAAGTGCTGCCTCACCTGTCCTCGTCCAGGGCAAGCATGGAGTGGGCCAGGCTGAGGGGGTCGGGCACCATCTGGGACGGGCCGCCTTCGGGGGGTGCCGGTGATGCAGGGCGGGACAGTGGCAGCTCCTGGGGGTGGGGGCAGCATCAGGGGGGGGAACCCAGGCGTCTGATTCCCCCACCCTGCACAGAGCCGGGACGCCTAGGTTCCCACATCCTTAAACCCTTCATCCTCTGCTGTCCAGGAGTTTCCCACAATGCCCCTCTCCTGTCTATGCCCAGCCCGAAGGGGCTCTGAGGATGGGACAGAATTTTTGGGCAACTCCCGCTGCCACCACCACCACTATGGGATCCTCATGGGAATTCAGGTGTCTGGGATGCTAGACGCTGCACCCTGCGGCCACACCCATGCCCCGCTGAGGAATCCAAGCGTCCCGGTGTGCCCCCTCCTGACTGACCCCAGGGCACACGGACCCCGGCATCTGGCCCCTGGCCCCATCACCTGTTGCTGGATGAGGCGGGTGGTGCTGGGAAGTGCGGCGGCACTGGGGCCTCCCAGCGAGCGGGCCTGCGGTGCACTTGGCGTCCCCGGGTGGGCGCGGGTGGCATCCAGCGAGTGTGGCAGGCGCAGGGCGAGGCTGGGGTGCGATGGCACTGGTGGCACTGGCACCTCATAGCAGTCACGGCAGGTCCAGCGCCCACGGCGGTAGGGCTCGCCCGTGCCCACGCCCAGCCGCACCACACGGAACCGGGACCCAGGGCCTGGTGGCAACGCAGCCTCGCCGCTCACGCCCGTGATCTGGAAGCCGCTCTTCTTGCGGCTCATGGCGCCCACCCAGAGGCCCCGCGCCCCCCAGGGGGCTGTGCCCACCACCCCAGGGCCATACTGGGAGCGGGGGAAGGGTTTGCTCCTGTGCTGGGGGGTGCCCGCCTCTGCTGGTCCCCGCTGCCCTGTTGACAAATCCCTGCACCAGGAAGTACCCCCCCACACACACACCCTGGCCCGCCCCTGACAACAGGCCACACCCCATCCCTTTAACCCCTGCACTACCAAGAGGCTCTCAATCCCTCCATTAACCCCTTGTTTGCCAAGGTAGGGGGCGGTCCCTTACTATGGACCCCCCCCTTTTGATGCCCCAGATTGGCATTAACCCCTCAGATGCCACCGCCCACAACAGGCTGAGACCTTTTTTGGGTGGGGGGATGGATCCTGCCCTTCAAGGTGGAGGGGATTAACTGGGAGGTGCCTGGTCCTGGCCGCCCACTCCCAGATGTGGTGCCTCCTCCTTGCCAGCTACAAGACCCGCCCCCTTCTGGGAAAGCCTGGAGAGGGCTCGGAGGCCGGGAGCCCAGCCCCAGGAGGTGTCTGCTGGGGGCGCCCCTGAGCCTTGTGGGGGGAGGTGGAAGGGACCCAGGTTCTACCCAGGACCCACCCGAGGTGGCTGCATCCCAGGATGAGGGGGCCCAGATTGGGGGCAGGGATCAGCTGGGTGCCCCGTCCCCTGGGAGAGGCAGGTGCTGCTCCCCTTTGCGGGCAGTGGGAGTGGGGGACGGGGACAGAGATCGTAGCTGGAGGGACCAGGCAGGGGGCTGCAGGTCTGGAGTGAGGGGCATGGTGGGTGGGAAAGGGCAGGGGGAGTGAGGAACACCGGCAGGGGGGGCTGCAGGTCGGGAGTGAGGGGCACCGCTGGCGGGGCAGGGGGCTGCAGGTCGGGAGTG